ATAAATCAACATATCATTTCTTAATATTAAATGACAATTTTTACATTTATCAATTTAATAAGTGATGGTACGACCTCATTTTCAAGGAGTTAGCATGTGCTGTACTCAAGGTGTAATCGAAGAAGTGGAATTGTAGCATACAAAAAATGAACACACATGAAAAGAAATGAACAAAGTGTTATCTACAAGTCTTTTATTCCAAATGATTTATTTCTTTTTTATATCTACTGCTGTACTTAGGAAAGCATTTAATTGTTTCTTTCATTATCCCTGCATATCTACCTACACATCTTGCTTGATGTCCTTACCTACACAATTGCTATTCTTTATTTGAACGGTGATTTAGTGATACTTAATCTTTCTGTTTTAATTTATGCTTTCCCTATTGTTTGATCTGGACGGAAAACAGCCCTTGAAGTAACTCAAGCTGTACTTCCTTTCCCCTTTGTTTTAATTAAATCACACATTGCCACAATATATTTTATGGCTGATAGTTTTAGATTTGTCTTCCTCAGAGTTGTATTATCTACTCTATCACAGTTGAGATTTTATTTCAGAAATATCTAGTAAGAAGAGATTTACTTAAAATATTACACAACCATCTCACTCCCGTCAAATCAATTTTGACTCATAATGACCCTATAGGACATAACTGCCCCTGTGGTTTCCAAAACTGTAACTTTAAGAGAGTAGAAAGCCCTATCTTTCTCCCTACACAACCTGACATAGATTTAAAAACAGGATTGTTCCTTTGTCTCCAATTTTCACTCACCACGTTTTCTCAAAATATTCATAATTCTGTATTGTTCTTTCACATCCAGACAACATAAATGCAACTAATTCCATTCACATTCTTAAGCATCAAAGAGTATGTCACCTAACAAATTTACATGGATTGACATTTTTCAGTAATCTACCTATTGTTTCTATAATCATTTGGCTTTGCACACTTCCATTACATAGTTGGTGTAATAATATGTGGAACCGCTGCAAACACTCACAGTAATAGGTACAATTGAATCTGATGTGTCTAATTAATTTTTAGTCCAACAAATTAGTTTTGTTCTTCATTACTCTCCAATGGGAGGAAGACATTATATTTCATTATATTTTTGTCTGCAAGAACAATGGAGCATCACAGGTCACACACATCTCTTATTCATGCTCTAATTAGCCTAACTGATAGCATTGTTTCAAAAATGCAAGTAGTATAAGAAATAGTAGTACATGTAGGGTGATATACATATTGCCCCAAATTAAATATACTAATTTTCTGGAACTTTTACACAAATGAAGGACAAATCTATTAGTTTGTCCTTGTTCCATAAGACATTTGTTTTCTTTGTAATAACTACTTGTGAAGAAAATCACCAGATATGTGGATATTTCATATTGGAAATAGGAGCTCATTTCAAATGCATTATCCCATTGCTGTTCAGTTAATTCAGCAGGATCTCTGACACTCTAGCAGACAGTAGAGAACTGACTCACATGTCTTCAAAGGCTGTAAATCTCTATGGAAGCAGACTGCCACTTCTTTCTCTCGTGAAACACTGACCTTTCAGAGAACAGATTTTCTTTTAAATCCATCAGAGAACAGCTTTTTCTTTAAATCATCGATGGCTAAATCTACCCACATACTAATTAAGAAAAGACATATTGGGTTATCAAAGCAGATGTTCTACCTAAGTAGAGGTGTTTTTAAAATCTCCATTTTAAAAGGAAACCTCTCTTAGAAATGATTTATAAGTGTGTACAAGGAAACACTGGCAACTATACCCAACAAGCCTGCACATGTACAAGGGAATACTGGCAGCTGTAACTAACGCGCCTGCATTTTAGTTGACTAAATGACAAGCCTCTTTATCGTGCCTGTCTTAGTCTAATACAGGTCAGCAGAATGGAGGCTGTGTTTGTGACCTGCTGCATGCAGTCTTTCTGGGCTGCTGGATCTATCCAACCAATGGCTTTCTTATCCTTTCCTATCTCTGAATTCCCTCCATATTTCTTGTTTCTGTTCAACATGTGAAGAAAGTTAATGTGGAGTATTGTCTGAGCAGCGATCTGGGTTAGGTTTAGAAGTGCTGTCATCATTTCTGACCTAGATATGATTGTCTAGTTCACAGACACTTCAGTGTACTCTATGGAATATGAGACGGGGAAATACAGTCTAATAGTCTGCGTTGGAAGAAAGAGTATTCTACCAACTAGCAGAAACATGGGATCAAAAGATTAATGCCTTACACAGATCCACTTAGCTAGCAAGCAGCAGAGAGAGGCTTTGCCTTGAATTTTCAGAGAATATGGTCTTTCTAATATATTACAATGTCATGATAACCAAAGCAAGTATTAAAAAAAAACCAAAAAAAAACAAACCCAAAGTAAGTATATCCCATACATTCCATGATATGCTAACCTAAAATTTGTCACTATGATTTTGCTTACAATTAACATTGCAAATTCTTTGATTAGTCACTTACTAGATATGATATAGACATTAAAATCACTTAATCATCAGTGTCTAAGTTTGGGTTTTTGGGGGTGTTTTTGGTGGGGGGGTTGTTTGCTTGCTTCCTGGTTGAGTTTTGTATGCTTTTGTGTATATAAAATCCAGGATACATAGATCTCTAGGGAGAGTAAGTATATTGATATATTGATAATTGTCTGGGGCAGTGACTCTCAACCTTCCTGATGCTGCACCCCTTTCATACAGTGCCTCATGTTGTGGTGACCCCCAACCATAGAATTATTTTCGTTGCTACGTCATAACTGTAATTTTGCTACTGTTATGAATCATAATGAAAATATCTGATATGCAGGATGTATTTTCATTGTTGCAAATTGAACATAATTAAAGCATAGTGATTAATCACAAAACAATATGTAATTATATATAGTGAAATATTTATGTGTTTTCTGATGGTCTGAGGCTACTCCTGTGAAAGCGTCATTCAGCCCCCAAAGGGTCTCATCCCACAGGTTGAGAACTGCTGGTCTAGGGGCGTGGCTGGGGAAGATGGGGAAATGGGCACTAACAATGGGCAAAAGAAGAAAATATTCTGAAATTGATTGTGGTGAAGATTACAAAACCCTTAAGGTGATTGAATTATTAAATTGTATGATGTGAATTATATGCCAATAAAACTGTTTTAAAAAATGAGAAGCTGAAGATTCAAACAGACAACAGCTAGACTATGTGTAAAAATAGAACTCTACCCAACAATCTGCAGCAGCCACCAGCGAGCCAAACCACAGACTCCGTAGCAGTCTGTCCAACAGGGTCAGGACATAATCAACAACTCCGTGCCAGTTTCCCTCAGTGCTGTCCCAACTTTCACATGAGGACTAACCAGAGAAAGGCAAGAGGCGCCTCTAACTATTCATATAGGATGCTCCCCTTCCAGTTCGCCTACTTCCGGCTTCTCCAAAAGCCTCAACTCTGGAGAGGCCGGAAGCCTTCTCTTTTTCTACTATGAAGTATGTATCCTCCCACATCTGCCTTTGAGGGGGTTTGGTTTGTTTCTTTAATGGTTTTATTGAGCTCCCATTAGCATATCATGCAATTCAATAATTCGTTTATACTGAGGGTCGTGCAGTCATCCCCACGATCAACTTTGGAACAGTTCTTCCGTCTTGTGCCATTGATGGTCTCTGCTTCTGTATTTTTGACAATGAAAGGCATGCCTGGCAGCTGACTCCCGTCCTATAGCAAATTCTCAATGAAGTGTGTTTTTATCCTTAAAATAAAGAAATACGTACCTAAAGCTCTCTAGTGATGTATGTCCCATCAGTTACAAGCCTATGTAAACTCAGGTGAATCCCCTCTGAGCGGAGTTCAGGGATGTGACAAACCTTGTCATCATACAGCGAGCATTGCGAAGCCGATGATGGCTGGTAGTGGTGCGTTAAAATGTAATACCCTCCCATTTGATCGCCCCTTTATCCCATTTTAAAGTTATTTCCATTCTCAATAATTTCTGCTCTCCCATCAATTGAGGTCTTCTTATGTTTTTGTGGTCATTGTGTTGGTTTCCTCATTCATTTGCTTAGTTTTTATGACTTTGTATGGTTGCGTTTGTTTTGTATGATTTTCTGTATATGAAATCCAGGATAAGTATATGTACAGAGACAGTAACTGGGCAGGGACATGGCAGGGAAGATGGGGGAAACTGGGGCATTAACAACAATGAATATGAGAAGAAAATGTTCTGAAATTGATTGTGGTGTGGATTGCACAAATCTCCTTAATATAGTTAATGATGAATTGTGTGATATGTATTTCTAAAAGTGTGTAAAAACCTGAAGTGAGATTTTAGTTCTTGTCAATGAAGTCTAAATGGTCAAAACAGGAACTCTTGCTTAGCTTAAAGATGAATGTTTTAGTTATGGTGGACTTAGAATTAGCTTTCCATTTTAAATTCACTTTGTAAGTTAGTTTCAAATCCTTTAAAAATATTTGAGCTTTACCTTTTTATGAAATGAAATTTTACATACTGATCTGTATGAGCAAGTGTTTACATAAATGCCACGGTATTATACTTCCCAGGAAACTAAGCAACACCTGAGCAAAATAAGTTGATTTGGTACAACAAACAAGAAGAAATATTGTTACTTGTTACTGTGAATCATGAACATTTATTATAAGAGACAGTTTGTAAATCTATTCTCATTGTTTTACTTGGAATTTTTGAGAATTTTATTTTAAAAATACTTTAGCTAGTTGAAGAAAACTTACTGTTATTGTAACTCTTAGTGCTCATTTTAGACACAGAAATGTGTCTGAATGTGTCTATAGCAATCCAAAATATAAGAGGACAAGGTTATCACATTTTTAAATCAATTCTTTGATGCTGCTTTGGGAAATGGTCAAGCACACTAACCAAGAAGCGAGACAAGCTCAAGATAAGTCATCTGAATGGCAAATATTTTTTTTAGTATTTGTGTTTCTGTGTTTATTTTCATCTTAATATTCACTAACACTACTCTTACTTTTCCCATAGGAGGGCGTAATGAGGTTGTTATTACTGAAAACAATAACAGCATAACTGAACAAATCACTGATGTTGTGAAGCAACCAGCCTTCATAGCTGGTATTGGTGGTGCCTGCTGGGTCATTCTGATGGGGTTCAGCATCTGGTTGTACTGGCGAAGAAAGAAAAGAAAGGGGCTCAGTAATTATGCCGGTAAGAGACGACTTCCAACCAAGCCACACTTTTATCTAATGACACATGAATTGCTCCTGTCTAATTCACATTATGACTGTAAGGCCATGTATTTGGGTTACATCACCAGGGAATCTTAACATTTGATAAAATTTACATCCGATCAAACTTATCAACAAATTCTTCAGAACACAAAAGCACACATGCATTTACACATGCATGCTCATGTACTCCAGTGCACCCAAAAACAATTCGTTGCATGCTCTTAAACCATTGATTGGGAAATCGATTTGTACAGAAGTATTGCTATAACGATCAAAGGAAAAAATGTTTGACATATAGCTTTTCAATTCACAGACTAAAATAAGTAATGTCCCTCGTGCAAAGTACAGATAAGCAAAATAATCTCACCAGAGCTCATATTCCTATTAAACAGGGCCCTTCTTTCAGCATGGGCCATCATCGTTTCAGAGGGAGAAGGAAAGCTAGCCAAACTGCCCTCCACATTTGCCGATGGTGGTGATTCTAAGTGATCTTTCTAGTCATGAAATCTGTTTTCCTGATCATCCAAAGCTGAATTTTGAGACTACAGGAGATATGTCATTGAAGCAATTGCAAAGTTGTAACGAGAGAGAAAGGAGTAAAAATTCATTGACTGAAGGAATGCACTCAGCATGGGAGCTGTGTTCAACACAAATGTAACTGATATTTATTTAGTGTTTTTCCCAATAGCAACAATAAAAAAATGGCTTCATTCTATTACACACTTACCTAGAATTTACAGGGGAACAATTTAATGGAATATTGTCCTCCCAGATACTTTAGAAGTTTTTGAGAAACTTGATCCAATATTCTGTTTCTAATTTTAATTTTTATAAAGATAAGGTATTTGAATAATTGATTCTGAAGTGGGCTTCATTGCCCACTAGTCTTCTAAATCGTGGTACTTTGTTGGTTTCTCTTCTATCACTAATATCTAAGTAGCTCAAAATGCAAGGCACAGCATCCACTGGATTGCCTGGTTTGTCATGATGATTTGATCATGACATTGTTGCTCATGTTTATACCTTATGAATATAAAATTAATCAGTTACTGTTACAGTTTAAATAATTTAAATTGTATTTATTAAACTATATTAAATACATATAACCTGTATTAAATGTACAGTTTAAAGACATTTCCAGGACTAAAGAAAGTGTGATAGCGTGAGGACTCATGCTTCCTGACTTGTCATCATTCTAGCACCGTTCCTTTCCCCGGGCTGCCTGCTTCCTTGTATCTTGTCAGCTATGTGCCACATCTCCAAGCCAAGGAGGGATACTATCAGGAAAGGGATTCTACTTGGCTTTCATTGTTTTAGCTTCTTGAATTTTAAATATATTCCGTTCTGTGTTGTAGTCAAGTATTTTATTTTTTTCCTCTTAGGAATTGTGTATCAATACATCTATCTAATCAATTGCTTGTTACACTTCATTTTGCATAACTCACGTAAAGGCGAAGGAAGAATTGATTTAATTTTAAAACTTCCACATGCTTTCTACTTCGCTTATCTTTAAGAGATAATAGTGAATCATTAACCATGCTCTTCTCTTCAGAAAACATTGTCCAGTTAACCAGAAGGCCAGCAGTTCAAACCTACCACCAGCACTGTAGGAGAAAGATGAGACTTGAGATGTCTGCTTCTGTAAAGATATGGCCCGGGAAAGCCTATGGAACAGTTCTAAACTGTCCTGTAGAATGACTGTGAGTCAGATTCAACACTGAAGCACACAAAAACCACAGTGACTTTGGGGATGATTTCTAATATATCCATATCTAAAGTGATGATTTATTGATTTCCATCTTTCTTCATTCACTCAGCTTTAATAAATAGCATAGCTTTGATAATTAGGTTTGTGCTTTTAGTTAAAACTGTCAGAGAGAGATTTCCTTCTCTCCCTCTCCTTCCCCTATCTTCCCATTTTCTCCTCCTCCTTCTTCAACATCAGCGTCAGCTAAATTCTACTTTTTGCACTTAATTTGAAAATTTCTGTTGGTCTTTGAGCATGACAAACATAGTATATGACCTGTTATCATTTATCATTATGATTGACATTCATCTGCTTGTAGAAGTAATATTAAATCAAAAGATGCTATGCCCTTCAAATATTTTGGAATAAAGCCAAGCCAGAGAACAAAGCCTTTCAAAACCTCTATACCTAATTGATAGATGGTTGGCTTTCAGAATCGATCCACCTTAGGTAGTAATTTGCCTCCAGGAACTGCTACTTTCTTCTGGATGAGCAGCAACTAAAACTACAAGCACAAGAACCTAGCGAGACAGATAGGACATGGCGATGCTAGCTATTCATTTTTTACATCAGTATTATCCTCTACCTTGTGCATTTTCATATTATTGTCTTTAATACAATATAGAGAAAATATGTTAAAGATAGGTATGAGTAGCGGAGTAAGGATTTATCGCATTCCAACTTCTCATATTTTGTAAATAAGCAACTCATCTATTTTAAGTGATTTCATTAGGGGCTATTTTTCTCTGCAGGGCCTTCCAAATATAATAGATACTATATTCTATTGTTGCTCTGATTTATATCTTGATTTTTATTTAAAAATCCCATAAGATCTATGTATCATTATGAGAGTGAGAAATAAACTTACTAAAGTTAAAACAACATAATTTCACTCACACAATGAAATCTTAAAATGTCCACTTTTCAGTACAATTCTGTTTGTTGTTAATTCATGATAGCAGAAATAAGTATCTGTGCCAATAAATGAAAAAGTATATTTAAGTTGAACATTGGTATCATGTGCCATTGACTTAGTGTCATTTACGCCCACTGACATCTGGGGCTGCGAACTGAGTTGCTAACCACAAGGCCAGCAGTCGGACCCACTGGCTGCTCCAAAAGAAAGATGAGCCTGTCTACTCTTGTACAGACATACAGTCTCAGAAACCCAGAGGGATAGCTCTGCTCTGTCCCAAAGGGTTGGTATGAGTAAGAATTGACTCAATGATCACGCATTTGAATAGTGACCCTATACAATAGAGTAAAACTGCTCCCTATACCTTTTAAGGTATAGGGACCAGAGCACAAGGCACCGCCAGTTTTCTTAAAGTGACTTGTGTCCCATCTGAGGTTGGGGTACGGGTAGTATGACGGCTGGGGAGTTGTAACAACACATTGCATCCCGGGGCGGTGTTGGTAGGGAGACGCAGCCAGTGGCCTGCGCCCAGCACTCAGGCAACAGGCGGCGTGGAAGGCATGGCGCCCCGGTGGCGTAGTAGTCCATCCCGCGCATACAGTAATGACAGCCCGAGCACATGCTTTCGTAACCCTGGAAGGGCAGGCGGCCCTGCAGCGGGTCCACGCAGCCGCACCGGGGGGCGATCTGCTGCAGAGGCTGGTTTCGGGACAGCGAATTCAGCATGTTCACCACGACCTCGCGCTCGTAGGCACTGAGCCGCTCCGATTTAGGCTTAGGAAGACACTCCAGAGGCATCCCTGCAACTACCGTCTCCGTCCCGGCCTCCTTAGGCAGAGGGGGCAGACAGGTGGGATACTTGATCTTGCCCGGGCTGGGGTAAGGTCCTAGCCTCCAGGTGGCGTAGCGGTCGTCATACAGATAGCCTGGGATGCATCTGTCTGCTTGATTGTAGGGTGTGGAGATCAGACAGGGTTATTCCCTATGCCACCCCAGCTCCCTCCTTTAACCCCACAAGACAAAGCTGATTCTCACGGACCTCCCTCAGGCCAGTCCCCTGGCCCAGCCTGGCCTCAAACTTGCCCTCAAAGCAACCAGAGCACAAGGGACCAGAGCACAAGGTCCTTTCATTGGCAAAACCATTGATAGGTTTGAACTCCTAACTTCCATGCACATCTGAGCATATAACCATTACACTACTAAAGCTCTTCTATATTTTGGTATCAGTATTTAAATGGTTTATAAAACATTTGATTTAATTTAAGCCTCAATTGTAATATGGCACTGCTTGAATCTATATGTAGATATTTGATATAATTAGCATATGTTAAGTATTATTTTTAACACTGCTAATCTGACCCTAAGTAGAATTATAGACTATGAAAAATTTGATTTTTCATTTCCTTTGGAAGCATTTCACTTCCAAATGCTCTCATTTCCTTCCCCTAAATATTCATTCCAATTCTCTTCTAAGATGGGTAGGTAGACCAAGAACAACGAGGCTCTCCAGTGGGGAGAAGGAGAAACATGGCAAGGGAAATAACTTCATGCAGGATGGCGCTGACTCAACCTTTAGAGAGAAAACCTTTAAGGAGGATGAGCTTTGTCTCTGATTATGGAGTTATATTTGAGTGCTTCAAGTGAAGTGCGTATGGGGTCGCTAGGCGTCATAATCAACTGGATGGCAGTGGGATTTCTTTTTTTCAGAGGACGGATTAAAAAAACCTGCTTTTCAGTGTAGATATGTTCTTTAATTCTGAAGACATTTGGCTATAATCAGAAAGTGCTGGTAGATTGCATAAAGCCGCCATCAAAGATCAAATACAAACCAGGAGCATTTGGCCTGGCCGTGCTTTGCTCCTTTGCATACCACCCCATTTTCTCCAGGCAGCGTCACACACTAATGCGATGTTTTGTGTTCATATTTATCCTTTACATTCCTTAGAGTCAAACACGCACCACAGGTTTGCACACGGCACAGAGAAGGACAGCCAAGACAAAAAAGGGATCTTCGTATGCCCTGTGCTGCCTACAATGATTTTGTGCTTTTTTAGAGGCACGTGGGATGCTCTACATCATAGTCTCCACTGAGTGCTGGTAATCTACTTGTTGCTTCGTGTGTGGGGATTCTGACTTTTAGAAGCATTTGCTTTCTAAGTTTTTATAGGGTGAAATAGAATGGTAAACCAATCTGAGGGGAGAACATAGAAGATATTAGATGATTTTAGCTTTTGAATAAAGGTTTGATTATATGGAGACATCTGTATATATATGACTCTGTGAATAAAAAATTCAACAATATACACTTGAACCAAGTCATGTAGCTTCATTAGAATTAGATTAGCATTACATCCAATTTTAACAGTCATCAACTTTTTTAATGAACAAAAATATATTCTCACTCGTCAGGGAGAGAATTATGCTCTGTAAATATTACCTTTGAGGATGAAAGATATTATGAAACTCAGTAAATATAAAAAATGTAGTATTAGGGGGAACATCACCAAATGCTAAACCTTTCCACATAGGTTTTAAAACTGTTGGTGAAATATGAATTATTTGACAAAACAATCTAAAGGCAGCTAAAAGATTTGATGGAATTTTTATAGTCTGATTATCTGGGCTGAGTTAATGCTTATTAAAAGAGGATTAATCTACATTCATATTTTAGAAATGGCTTATCAGGAGAGGGAATGAGGCTTGGCTGGCAAACATTAAAGTTTCCATTTGGAGAGGGAAAATGTGGCCTACTAGAGATAGGCACTCTGAAAGCTTTCTTCCCTTAAACTGTCAATTTACCACGTAGATATGTGCCCCTGCCACCAGTTCCAGGAGGTATGAGATTTGGATTAATCCTTTCAGATTATAGTAGAGGTACTTTGAGTAAGAAATAAACTTACAAAATTTTTTAGCTTATATCCTTTATATAAATTGCAATGAATTAAACATATTTAATACAATTCTAAAATATTTTAGATTCAAGTGTTGGTGGAACTTAGAAGCTTTAGCACTATCCAGTTAGTTTCTACTAAAAATTACGGGATGCTTTCATATAGAAATATGAAAGTGTCTAAGTTTGAGATGTTTTTAGAGATGCCTAGTAAAAATTCAATTATTCCAATTTGTTTCTCCGATGAGCAGTTTCTACACTGTTATTATAAAGATGGTGAAAAGCACAAGAATGCCCAAGTGCTCCCTCTCTTTTTATTTCAGGCTCAGCAGTGAAATGCTTCTCTGATATGAGAATTAAGTACTTCAAAAGAAGAGAATTTGCTGGGCATTTATTTTTATGTTCCTTTATCTACACAAAGAAATGCTGAGTGAAAATAAATAGCAAAACACCAAATATATTGTTTTTCTTCTTGAAGAGTTCTAATTGATTCTTATTTCTAGTCTGGTTTAATCTCATGATTTAAAGAACTCAGGTACATTGTAGTCTAGCTTTAATTTTTTTTTAACGGTTAGCAATTAGAAAAACACATAATTTTGAGCATGGATTAAAAGGCTAATTAAAAATATAATTGTTTTCTTTATTTGTAAAGCACAAGCAACTCTGATAAATCTTCCATTTTTTTCCTGTCTTATAAGCAACATTTAAAAAAACTACATATTTGTGTGTACCAAAGACTGTCTATGTTCCATTTTAAGGCAGTCAATGCATTATATAGTAGACTGTGTATGTTTGCCTTTGTATGTAAGGAGCCTTAGTGGAACAGTGATTAAGCGTGGGGCTACAAATTGAAAAGATTGTAATTCAAACTACACACCCCATCGATGGGAAATTTTGTGATTTGATCCTAGAAAAAGCTTGAGCTAAATCAAGCTAAACCAAACTCTCTGTACTGAGTTTCCTTGTACGGTTCCCATGCTCCAGGGAAATATTATGTTAGCTGGTTTTTGTTCCTTTGTTTGCTTGTATATGATCTATAAGGTGTTCCTGCTTTATTGAATGTTTTTTATCAGAAATAAGTGTGGCCAAAGGCTTTCTGCACCTATTAATACGATCATGTGACTTACTTTTAATCTTGTTTGTGTGGTGGATTGCATTTGATTGTTTTCCAATGTTGAACCATCCTTACATACTGGTATGAATCCCACTTGGTTATGGTAAATTATTATTATTATTATTATTTTTCATTTGCTGTTGGATACTTCGGGCCAGGATATTGTTGAGGATTGTTTGTGTTTATGTTCATGAAAGATATTGGTCTACAGTTTGGGAGATTATTTTTTCCTGTCCTTCTGTGGTCCTTGCTTTATTTGGGTATCAGAGATATGCTCATTTCATAAAATGCATTTTGGGATTTGCTGTCCCTCTCCGTGTTCTGGAATAGTCTGTGTAGAATTGGGGACAACTCCTTGAATGGTTGGTAGAATTCCCCTGTGAAGCCATCTTGTTTGGAAGTTCCTTAATGACCTTTTCCATTTCTTCTTTTGTTATGGGTCTATTGAGGTTTGCTACAGTAGTCAATGTTAATTTGGGTAGCTGCTGTATTTCTAACTCTCTTTCCATTTCTTTAAGGTTTTCAAATTTGTCCAGGTGCAGTCTTTCATAGTAGTGTTTTTATTCTTTGTTTTTCCTTTGGATCTGTTGTGATGTCATCCTTTTCCTCTCTAATTCTAGATATTTATACCTTTTATTTCTTTTCCTTTTTGTTTGCCTGTAGTTTGTTAATTTCATTAAATTTTTCAGCTTTTTGTCTTCTTGATTTTCCCATTGCTGTTAGGTTTTCCAATTTACTGGCTTCTGCTCTTAAGATCGATGCTTCCTTTTCTCCAGTTGGTGGAGGGCTTATGTTGTTGTGCTTGTTTCAATTGTTTGAGGTGTTGTGTGAAGGTGCTGATTAGGGACTCTCTTTTTGCATGTGTGCACTGATCGCTATCAATTGCCCTCTGATGACAATTTTTGGTGTGCACCAAAAATTTTGAGACATTGTGTTATCATTATCATTTTATAAAGAATTCATTTATTCCATCCCTTATTTGATCTACTCACCAGTTGTTTTTAAGTAGTATGTTGCTTAGTCTCCATGTGTTTGGCTTTATGTTCTTGTTCTTTCTATTGTTGATTTCTAGTTTTATACTTTTTATCAGAGAAAATGGATTGTAGGGTCTCAGTGATTTTTTAATTTATTAAGGCTTGCTTTGTGTCTTAATATGATGTCTATTCTAAAATATGTACTTTATGCACTGGAGAAGAAAGTATACGGTGTTGTTTGGGGGTAGAATGCTCTGTATATGTCTAGGAGATCCAGCTAGTTGATTGTATTTCTTAGCACTTTGTGCCTTTATTAGATTCCTTTAAAGATTATCTATTTTTTCATAAGAGTGGTATATTGATGTCATCTACCACTATTGCCAAGGTGTTATTTCTATCTTCGGCTCCATGAGGGCTTGAATAATAAATTCCAAACATCTTTCATGTATGCTTATTTTGGTTATGCTTCTTGTTCTATTATTTCTTTATTCATTATGTAGTGTCCATTCTTGTCTCTCATTATGTTATGTGAGTGCACCTCAATGTTTATGAATCTGCTTTTGTATTTCCAACTTTTTGGGGGGGTCTGGCAATATCAGAAAGTTTAGGTGAAGGGAAAATGCAAGTCAATCAGGAACTGACATTTCCCTTCCCTTCACATATCTCCTAAGCAACAGAGTTTGCGCTGTAAGCTGTGGTCATGTTCATTTTCACAACGACATCCACAGTGTTATCTTAACACTCTTTTACTGTAGTAAAACAATCACTTGATGGCCTATGAAAAGTCACAACACTGGATGTCACATCACACGGAAAGCTAACTAGCTGGGGTGTCTTCACATGTTGTGTTTCTCTTTGTTTTCCTAATCAGTTCTTCTTTAATTCCTCCAGCACCCAATTTTCATAATAATTATTTCATATTAACTCTTATTGCTAAAAGAAGTTATTAAAGTGACACAGTGTGGTGTGGATGCAAAGATACCGAGGATTTTAGCCAGCCTGCCCAAAAGGAGAGCAGCCCTCAGTCCTAGTTTGTCTTCTCTGAAGAACTGTCTGTAGCCCGTCCTGTGCGGATGCACAGGTTGGATCCGAATAGTTGTAAAATGTATCTGAGATCTTTCCTGATAAATTGATAAGGAAATTGTGATATCAACAAAATGCTCCTGATATGTTTTTCTACCTAAAAGTCTGGATATATCTTTGGGATTATTATTATAGTGCCTGATTATGATATCATGAGTGACAATGTCATTAGAAGACCTTAGGGAAGGGGTGAGGGAAGTGAAATTTGAAATTTAAATAATGATCATACTGGTGATCCTGAAGTTATGGAACAGATGAATTAAGGAGATATTATTCAAATTAAAATTACTCACTGTGTATATGCTGTAATTTCCAACATGACTTGAGGAATCTTATACACTTCTGTTTAGCTTTACCTGCTGAGAAAATAATCATAGTAAATACAATCAACTGATTCCAAGCCTAGGCTATGTTGAGTTCAAATTTATAAAATGGTAATTTTTCCTTTATCTTCAAAGATTGGTTTTGTCGATCCATGTGAAATTTTTTCAGAGATATAAATTTACTATGTTTTATTTACAAATTTGCAATCCATAAACACCAATCTCCACCCATAATTTTCTAGTAATTTAGTAAAGAGCATTGATCCAAATGAATGTGAAGTTACTTGTAAGCTTTATTTTCCCTACTAATAGTAAATGTTTATATTTTACTATAGAACTGTTAAATAACTGAAAAATTTCAGTTTTCTGTTTTGGAATCTCATTGTAGTTTGCATCATATTTCCTTTATTACATTTTGAAGTGATTTGAAATCCAAACATAGAGGGTTTTGGATAAGGAAACAACTAATATTTATGTACTTAAGCCAATACTTGAAAACCAATTTTCTTATTTACATTGTAAAATCAAAGCATTAATTGAAAAGGAGCAGACTCACCTTCTGAGTACTTGTTGATGCTACTAAGAATATTCATTATTTGAAAATATAATTTCCCTGAGGTGTTAGAGCAGGGGTCCTCAGACTTTTTAAGCAGGGAGTCAGTTCACTGTCCCTCAGACCCGTTGGAGGGCCAGACTATAATTTTTTTAAAAAACTATGACCAAATTCCTATGCACACTGCACATATCTTATTTTGAAGTAAAGAAACAAAATGGGGCCAAAACACCTGGCGGGCCGGATACATGTCCTTGGCCAGCGCATGTGGTCCGTGGGCCATAGTTTGAGGATGCCCGGGTTAGAGAGTAAATCAAAGTATTCAGCCCATTATTTTTTGTTATTATTATTATTTTCATGTATGTCATAATCAAAATAAGTCATAAAGTTTATAATTTTTCCTGAAAAGATAGCTGATAAGAAACATTTAGTCATTCAACATTTGTTTCCCTTGTTTAATCCAACTGATGATGTTGCCTGAATTACCCTGTTTCACTCCCTGTTATTTAGATAATAACAACCTTATTTTACAAATAAAAATCATGATTTGGTAAATGCACATTAGTATTATATCCATCTTCAAAACCGTTGATATACCCATCTCAATGATTTTTTTTGACATTACCCCTTTAACTTAACTGTGCATTTGACTTGAATTTTGAGGATTTCTGGTTTTTGTTTTTAAACAGGAGTATATGATGGTGTTGCTATGGGTCAAAGCACTGCTTGTTACTCTTTGTACATTTATGTTAATTATATTTTGTTAAAATTCCCAGAGGCTTTAGCTCTAAACTAAGGGCCAATATGCAGTTGCTATTAATTGTAATTAATATTGACTACTTGTGTGTGTTTCTTCTTCCTTTTTACAGTTACTTTTCAAAGAGGAGATGGAGGACTAATGAGCAATGGAAGGTATGTCAAGCATTTAAAAATATTTTATTTTTAATCAGGACTGGGAAATTCTACAGTAAGAGGCTATTATTGTAATAAATGATCACTTATAAGTCTCAGTATTCTAGGAGGAATTAAATGGCTTACCACAAGGTTTAATGATCTATCTGTTGTGCACTTTAGAGGAATCAAGTCCAGATGTTTCATATCTCCCAGATGCCCCTGAAGAAATTAGTAGTAAATATCACAAGGAATGTGTTCATTTGTTAGCAGGATGTTTATTGCATTAATTAGACATTAGCAAATGAAGTTGCTGTTGTTTAAGGCTCCTTATTGGCTCTCCCTAAATTGCTGTGAATGAACAATTACACATAATCGATCACAAAGTAAATGATTCATGGATGATGAATAGGCTGTAGATTGATAGGACTGAATTCCACAACTTTGGATACTCAATTGAAATTGATAAAAGCTGATAACAAACCCATATATCCTCATCTATTTTCCCTTTGCCAATATGGAGTTTGTAATTAGGCTTTGGTAATAAGTTCCAATCTCCCATTTAATCAATATTTTAGCAAAAAGAGATTAGGCCTAATGAGAGCTAGTGGGTGTAGCAAAAAAAGAGGTTAGATCTTCTCATTGCAGTTTCCATAGAAACACATGTTTCTCTTAGGGATTGTACCAGAAGGGGTCTATTAAAGAAAAACAAAAGTACAATGATTATAGATGTTGCTATTTCTCTGTAAGTATGCTAATAATCTGGAAAGGAATCAGAATCCAGTATTTTATATTAAAGATGGGAATTCTTTATTAAATATGATGTGAAGGAAGTTCTCCTCATAGACTTTATTCACATGCTCACTCAGATCATAGCAGATCTTTTATTACCTTAAAAAAACCTTTATAATGCCCTTGATAGTTTGTAATATAGACAACTTTGAAATATGCTATTGATGGAACAGTATAAATACTATTCATTAATTTCCCTCAAGTTCTTACCCCTAAATCAAGCAGGAGGGATCATTACAAGGGTTATAGCCTACAGGGGCAAATACATATTGGGACTTCAACAATTCAAGAAGCAATAGCCCAAAGTCCTAGAAAAGGCTAATACTGAGCAGTCATTCTGAGCAATTATTCCCTTGAGGTAGCAATTTGTCATCAGGACCTTTTTTCAGGACCTTGCTCGCCTCTGTGCGACGGCTACCAGTTTCCAGCAGACAACTGAATTCATTTCCACAGAATCCCAAGCAAGGATGCTTTTAATTCCATTGACAGGGTTGATCTATCTTTAACATTAATGAACTGCTGAAGTCTCTTAATTCTTGTGACTCCCCATATGTTCCCCAGGATGAAGCAAATTAACATCTTCTTATTCCTTAACCTTCTTAGTACATGCAAAAGGTGTTAAAATCCCTCACTGAGTTTCCTTCATTCATTTTTTTTCTCCTTCTTTCCTTTATAGCCGTCCAGGAATTCTCAATGCTGGTGACCCCAGTTATCCGTGGCTTGCTGATTCCTGGCCAGCCACAAGCTTGCCAGTGAACAATAGCAATAGTGGTCCAACTGAGATTGCAAATTTCGGGCGTGGAGGTAAATTGGGCAAACTGTTGTTTTATTGGGATGCATTTAGTTTGATTTTCACTTTCCCAGATATTTTTTTTTTAAGTCACATGGAAAGTATTTTCACTCATAATTAAAGTTAGTAAAATTCATGTACTGATTAGTGGATTATTGCTGTAAGTCAGGCAAGTTTGGATGATTCCACAGTAGATTTCTACACTTGAAAGTATAATTAATGAAGGTGACAAGAGTAAGTATCATGAGTGTATAAGCCTCCATAGTGAGCTTCTCCTTCTTTTGGTGTAAAATAAAGGAAAAGGATATTTATACTTTGAAGTTGTGTATTGATGATGAATGAATGACTCTATATATGGGATTAGCATAGGACTTCATGTCCAGTCACTACCTAGTATGCCTTAGTTGAGTAATTGAGAGAAGGATAAATAAATGATGTGACTCTGCAGCCTGCATCTTCCCATCGCTCAGCCAGTGCCTGCTCAAGGCATTTCTTGGGAACCAGACGATGAGCTCTGCGATCGCAGACGATCTCTTTACCATGGCGACCATCTGCATCTGAAGCATCTTGCATTGGGAAACAAGAGTATTCATCAACACATCCTCTACCCGAGTTGATATTCTCAAGGGAGTTCTTTTTCCATTCATTTTATCAACTAAAAACTAGCTAGGTTTTACTTATTATATATAAATGGGAAATGCAAAGCTTTGCATGTTTATATCCAAAAATGAATGCCAAAATACAGAGATTCTTGCCCCCCCACACTATTTTTAGAAGGCTACTCTAATATGTACACTGACTCTTTCCAAATTCACCAGAATCTGATTAGATTATCAAGGTTTTTAAAAATATTTTTATATCATGTTTATGAAATGAAATATTTGACAAATGAAGAACAAGGCCAACACAAAAGTTTCTCAAGGATTATTGTATCTTTTTTTACAGTATTACAGGCATTTTGCTCATTTAGTATGTGCCTGAAATATTAACATTTTTAATACATTTTATTTCATTGTCTTTATTTTTTTAATATATAGCCTTGATTATTGTACTTCCATTTTAAAGGTCAACAACAAGGTTTATTTACATGTACATTTTGTAAATATAGATGTCTGATACAGGTATACCTTGCTTTACATATTAGGCTTTGTTGTTGCTTGTTTTGTTTTGTTTCATATACACTGCTCTACAGCCCTAGAAATGGGATTCACCTGACTGACTATATTACCATATTGATTTAGAAGTAAAGAATTTGGACCTTATCCCCTTTATTATTGGAATACTAATCCTTGCTTAAATGTAATTCAAGTAATATATTGAATAATAAACTTACTAAATTTTTCAAAAACGATATACTGAGAATACCAGTTATAAAACATTGATCCCAAAGACAAAGTGGGTGCATAAGCAAATGTGGTGAAAAAAGCTGATGGTGCCAGGCTATCAAAAGATGTGGCAGCTGGGGTCTTAAAGGCTTGAAGATAAACAAGCAGCCATCTAGCTGAGAAACAACAAAGCCCCCATGGAAGAAGCACACCAGCCTGTGTGATTACAAGGTGTCAATAGAATCAGGTATCAGGCATCAAAGAACAAAAAACCATATCATTGGGAATGATGGGGAGTGAGGAATGGAGACCTAAAGCCCATCTGTAGACAACTGGAAACCCCCTTACAGAAAGGTCATGGGGAAGAGACGAACCAGTAAAGGTGCAGTATAGCACCGATGAAACATACAACTTTCCTCTAGTTCTTTAATGCTACCTCCCCCTCCTCCCACTATCATGAGTCCAATTCTATGCTACAAATCCAGCTAGACCAGAGGATGTACACTGGTACAGATCAGAGCTGGAAACACAGGGAATCCAGGACAGATAAAACTCTCAGGTCCAATAATGAGAGTAGTGATACCCAGAGGGTAAGGGGAATGTGGGGGGAAAAGGGGGAACCGATCACAATGATCTATATATAAGCCCCTCCCTGGGGGACAGACAACAGAAAAGTGGGTGACAGGAGATATTGGACAGTATAAGACATGAGAAAATAATAACAATTTATAAATTATCAAGGGTTCGTGAAGGAGGGAGGGTGGGGGAGGGAAGGGGAATAAATGAGGAGTTGATACCAAAGGCTCAACTAGAAAGCAAATGTTTTGCGAACGATGAGGGCAACAAATGTACAGATGTGCTTGATGCAATGGATGGATATATGGATTGTGATAAGAGTTGTAGGAGCCCACAATAAAATGATTTTTTTTTAAATAACACAATTTTCATCCCAGCATTTAACCAGGAAGTACTTGTTTTCCTCAAAGCACAAGTTGAAGAATTAAGGAAATGCAGTTATGAATCCCATATTGTCCTATCCTGAATGTATGATACAGTGAAAGAGGCAATCATTTATTCAAGCAATGATATTATTAAAAAACAACAACAACAACAACAAAATTTGAGTCCAGAATCAAGGTGGTAAAAAAGTACCATAAGTCCTGAGTAATGCAGCTGGAGGGAAAACTTGACATAAATCCAAAGTTTCTGACTCAAATGTCAACAAAGGCCTATTGTCATGACATAGTTGGGTTGGAGAGGGCTGGGAGAAAATGAAAATTGGAAATCCCTGACTAAAGATGGCAGTGCAAATTGTTTGGAAGAAAGTCATCTTATAATTCCAAGCAACACATACTACTGTAATAGATTCCATGTTATCAGATATGCACCCACTTTCAGATAGTCATGTAAAATCTCCAAAAATTTTGAATTTGAGGTGTAATTTGATATTTGGGGGAATGCGTGAATGATGAACTAATATTGAGGGCAAAATACAGCCCAAATATTAGCATGGGAGCATTTTGAAGTGAAGGTTGTCTATAATGTTATCCAGCAGGGAAAGAGATTCTACTTCTAGAGTCATCAATGTAGTTATTTCACAGTAAAATTATGTGGGTCTAGTTTCTTAGACTGCTTCCCCCATTTTTTCCATTTTGAGCACACAGCCATATCAAAAGCTTGTGATGGAAGTAGCTCACAGTCTGAAACCTAACGCTGTGGAGACTCTCAAATCAAGGTGTCGGGAAGGTAGAGTCAACGCTGTAGAAATGTTTTCTCCTCTTATGATTCTTCAGCAAAAAGAAAAAAAAGGGGAGAAATGAACTCTGAAATCTCCCCTAGAAGAAGGGCTCTGTTTTCACCAATTTTGATAGACAGCTAAAAGTTTTGGAGAATGAAACAGCCTAACCATTGAGAATGAGCCGTGCTTCTTCAAGGTTAAATTGTGATTAGTAGGTCGCTAAAAACAAGAAACGAAAGAAAGTAGTCAAATTCTTAAAAACAGTTTTACATGCTTATACATCTTAATGAAACATTATGCCTTTGAATATGTTTAACTACCATACTTATTTCTATTTAGAAGTTAGATCAATTAAGCACAGCCACAATTGTGAAACAAGTTTGAAATTCAGACTTCAAAATTGCCACAAAGATATATACAGTGTACAAAATACATTATGCAATTGTGTAATAATTGTTTAAGAATACAACATATATTTTAGAATATAAAAACAATTAGTTGAATAAGAATTCATATTCCAAGTAATGCTATACCCATAAACTAAAAAATTAGTAAAAAGCAATTAGAAAAAAAGCAATTAGCAAAAAAAAAATGAGTAAAAAAGCAATTGGAAAAGAGCCAAGTTCCTCCTTTGCTTTTTGCTAAAGGTAATGGCTCTTCTGTTTGTTCATCTTGTACTGCAGTAATTTGATGGGTTATTTAACATTTTAATATTGCCATTACTCAAAAACTTCCTATCGTGAAAAAAAGATCAAGTGATCTGATGATTTTAAGTTTTACAAAATGAGGTTTGGTAAACTATACTGAAATTCACTTTTTAAAATGGTAAATTGTGTTATTTAATATATATTTTTAAGTGTTTAGGTTTAATCTTTCTTCTGAAAAGGGAAAATAAAAGCTCAAGAGAGGGGTGGCAGCTCGGCATTATAAAGCACCGTGTGAAGATAATTCAGCGTACCAAAATGATAAATGGACTGATTGATATTCAGTGTTGTTCCTGAAGTTTAATTTTACTTTTGCTGTATTACAACTTGAAACTATAATTCTCCACTTTTTAAGAGTTGGTAGCATAAATTAAACTCCCTGATCACTGAGACTGCTTTTTCGAAGTTAAATCCTGCTGTACTATGAAAATTACTTGTTCATTAAAGTTTCCCTTCTTATCAAAGGGAAAAAAATATATCATTGAATACATCAGTTGCACTAGAGTGTGGAGCTATGCAATCAAATCAGATTATTGATAAGTTAAAACCCCGAAAAGTGTACCTCACGGTCAAGGTAGTATAATGCTGCAATCTTGCCTCTGTTCAACAGTTACAGTGCATGTTGTTGGGGTCAAGGGGAAAGAACTGTTTTCCTCCTGGAGGTGCAGATTCACCTTGATCGTTGCTTCTGCAAAGTGCTAATGGTTTTCATGGCTTTAAACTGGAATGAAGAACTCAAAGATTACTCAGTAGGGAAATACCCCAGCACTCTTATTTGTGGGCGAAGGAGTGCTTCAAGCAGTGAGACATGAAGGACTTGTGGTAGGCCTGCCTGTCACAAAGACCTGGCGAATGGTTGTACATCATCTCCCATTCGCCAGCTCATGAAGCCATCTCAGCTAAAATGCAAACGTGTGACATGACGCATTTATTTTCCATCTTCACTGCTGATCGTGTCGGGCTTCTTGTGCATCGTTAAATTATTTCATTTCCCTATGTTCACCCAGATGTGCTGCCCCCAGTTCCAGGCCCAGGGGATAAAACAGCAACAATGCTCTCGGAGGGAGCCATTTATAGCAGCATTGACTTTACCACTAAAACCACTTACAACAGTTCCAGCCAGATAACACAGGCGACCCCGTATGCCACGACACAGATCTTGCATTCCAATAGCATTCATGAACTGGCTGTCGATCTGCCCGATCCTCAATGGAAAAGCTCAATTCAGCAAAAAACAGATCTGATGGGATTTGGTTATTCTTTACCTGATCAGAACAAAGGCAACAATGGTAAGTCCCGGTCTTGTTTCTCCAGGAGTTATCTCCATGTCATTTGTGCATGTGATAGAAATTAGTAATTGTTGTTGGACAGTGACTCATTACCAGGTTCGCTACTTAAACTAAAAAGATCAAACCGGCATGTATTCAATACCTTGCACAATCCCTACCCACCGCCACCTCCACCACCACCGTCACCACTGTCACCTCCCTCCTCAACCACCACACACCAATACCAGTCAGTTTCATGCTTGTAGCTCTTTTTCACTGTAGTGGTCAGCACTCCATCTCTACTTCCATTAGGACAGGGTAGTTAACACATCCCTCCTCTCTCCCAGGACATCCGCTTCTGAGTTGCTAACTGCATGTCTGCATGGGCTTGTGCTGTGAACTAATCACATGATGCCACTATGACCTCTGCCCTTTAACCCTTAGCCTTACTTTACATCCCTGACTACCGATTGGCTGAGGGATTGTCTAATAGAATGCCACACAACCAGTCACAGGATTTCAGCACCACCAGCTCTCACAACAGCTCAGAAAGGAGTGGCAGCCTCTCAGGTTGGTCTCATTACAGTAAGGAGAATATTTGTTTGTCATCAACATAGGACCTGTGTTTCTAACAACCCTGAAGAAATACTGAATCCCAACTCACTGTCAGGCATTTATCTTTTAACTGAAATTAGCAGTTGATACTCATGAAATGCTGCTTTGTTGCGGGAAGTATACTAGTCATCTCCCGTATGTATGCAAGCATGCCTTTAGAAAGGGATACGCTACCGTATTGTTTCACATGAATGAAGTCCTGAATGAATCCTACATACTAGTCAACGAAGCGGGGAACAGGTTGGCAGACGTGAATCCTCTGTAAGCGTCATCAGAAAGTAAAAATAAGCACAAGATCGCAAGTAAGTTCTGTGACACGGACACCAAAGGATGCATTGCGCTACAACTGAAATGATTTCGGAGAGTTCTCATACTACTACTTTTCCAGTGATACGATTCCCTAATTCTAGGCTTTTCTGTTTTGCAATTGACTATGTATCAGGATTCATTATCATTTAATGATATTATTTACTGTGAGGTACCGATACCGTGCCAAATAAGAATATATTAATATGGTACATTATTATTAAATTTTAATTTTAAGACACATGCAATCTTTGAAACTGATCAATTTTGTGCTGTAAATTATAGCCAAGGCAACGATTTATCATGTAAGCATTGTATAGAACATATGGCGAAAAAGATATTATTGCACAGAAATATATACCTATCACAATGAAATTCAGTGGCATTGTACAGGCCCAGACATTCTCAGGCAAACAATTAAGAGGTTGTCAGCGAGGCGCTACCAGCCATAATAACTCTCACATTCTGTGGCTGAGTACTTTGGCTGCACATTTCTAATTGATTCCTTAACCCTATTTGCTGTATATGTCCAGCTTAATGAAATGCTATTTGTTTGTGTTGGGAGTGATTTTTTTAAACTACAAATTCTTAATCAATATGATAGTACATTGTGGTATGACATGTTACCATGTGTAAGGATGTAAGGAGTTAATTCTTTTAGATAATTATGGTAACATTTAATAAATTACTTTTCCTCAGGAGATAGGACTTTCTTAGTTTGAAAATGTTAATGCTCTTCTTCCTTCCAAAATGAGCCATGTGTTCTTCCTACCTGCTGGTAGGATTCAGTGCATTATATATTCTAAAACATTTGAAGCATCTGTTATGAATTCAAATTGTCTTAATAACATAGGGCACCTTTTTAAGTAACCTTATATGTCATTTATACTGTCATTTATTGATAATGAGTCTCACATTGTTTTGAATACTTAAAAAGCAACTTAAGTTTTTTCCTATTTATATCTCTTGTGATATGTAATGTCAAGCAAAATATGCAAAGAAACCCATCTATCTCACCTATGGATGATGTGAGATTTTCTATGCTTGTTTTTTATGTATTCAGTATGCACTAATTGTCACTTAGTTTCAAACGTCATCTTTTGAGAAATTGTATGTAGACCATACATGATTCACAATAGTGTTTGCTATTTTTTGAATGCATTAGTCTACTAAGTGGCACTTATGTGGGATATATATATCCACATGTATATATCAAAAGCACATGGAAATAATCTCTTATCTTTTAATTACATTTTTACATGAAAATTTGTATCCTGTCATATGTATAAATTGTTGCTTATACTAACTACTTTATCTACATTTAAGTATAAAAAATATTTTAAACTAGTGATAGAAAGTGTTCTTTAAGTAAGAGTGAAGTGACTATTCATTTTAATATAGAACAATTGAATGTACTATTAAAGAGTTTCATTTATTCTCATAATGATAGGTATTCTTTCAAATTTAAGATTAAACCACTGTATTGTAGAGAGCTAAATATGTCATAAATATTTTCTCAATTTGTAGTGATTAAATACATTTAAAATAAGTACAGTGATTAAAGTAATTGGTAATTCCAAAAATTTTTAATGAAATAACCCTCTTCAAAACATATTTATAACTAATTGAACACCTAATATCTGAATACTTTTGCTAAAAAGCAACCTAAAATTATCAAAGAAAATGGCAGTGTTTTAATATAGTATCTACAATACTACCTATCATAACTATATGAGTACATAGATAACTACAGAGTCACGACGGTTAAGTTGCTAACTAAAAGAATGGTAGTTTGAACTTACCAGAGGCTCCAGAGGAGAAAATGTGGCAGTCTGCTTCAGTAACAACATCCAGACATGGAGCGCTTATTGAGCAATTCAAATCCGTTTTACAGAGTCACCATAAATTGTAATGGACTCAATCTCTATAGCTTCACTTGGTGGTTTATAGACATCTATAGATACATAGATACAGGTATTAATGCACACATAAGGATGTACATATATCAGTAACACGAGCAAAATATGTTAATGCACCCCCTTTTAAAAGAATATACTATAAGCTTAATTTTGAAATGAATTGTTTATATAATTGTCTACACAAATAATTTAGTTAAGACTAAACTAAGGTAAAATTAAAATAGTTACATTTTGAGTTAAATAAAGATGGATAAAATATTTTTGCATGCCACCAAGCATATGTTTCCCTAAAACATGATACAGGAAATTCTCACCTTGAATCACTGAAGTTTCCTTGGTTACACATAACAGCAACAGGGTATAATTCAAGTGGACTCAAGATTCAAGTTCTAAGTATAGAACTGAACTGTGGGTGTACCACTTAGCTCATTGTTCAAGAAGACAGAGCATGTTCATAGCTAGCTCAGACAAGACTACCCAAAGTGCGATAGCAGAAATTATCCCCCAAACAGTGGATAATAGATACTGGCTGTAAAAATCTCATGAATTATCTGCACTTATCAGCAAGATTCCCAAACAACGTATTACAACTATTGTCATTACATGAAGTGTTATAAGTTCATGGAACCAATTCTGACTCATGGTACATGAGTCCATAGGACTTTCAAAAGTATAAGATTTCAGAATGAGACCTGCCTTCTAAGGCACCTTTGTGCAGGTGTGAATTGTCAACCTTTAAAGCTAAGAGTTCTGCACTTCCCTGTTTGTGTCACTCAAGACTCCAAACAAACTAGGGAATTGCTTTCTTGAACTTGGGCAAGAACTTCAGCAGAGTAGGATCCAGGGTGCTAGAAATGATCGTTTCCAGTAAAGGTTCTGTGCTCTGATTTGTCTTTCTTTTCTGGGTGACTATATCTGATTCACTCAGTACCCAGAAATGTCCTCAGTTCTTTCCTCAGCCTAATGTTGTTGTGCTTAGGTACATAACTCAGTTTCCACTCATAGATTTCCCCTATGTACAACAGATTGAAACACTACCCAGGCCTGGGCCAGCCTCACGATCATTGTTATGTGGAAGCCCAATGTTGCATATACTATGTAAATCCATCTCCTTCATGCGCCTCCTCTTTGTCACTGACCTTCTACCCACTATGATGTCTTTTTTCAGAGATTGGTCTCTCCCGATAACATGTCCAACCTACGTGTTATAAAGTGCTGCCATCCTAGATTCTAGGGAGCATGCTGGGTGGACTTCTTTCAAGACAGATGTGTTTGTTCTAGCAGCAGTTCATGGCACCTTCAGTATTCTTGAATAATACTATAACTCAAATGCGTCAATTATGATTCTTTATTCATAGTCCAACTTTTATGTTCCTATGAGGCAATGGAAAAACAAACAAACAAAAAAACCATGACTTGGATTAGGTGAACCTGAGTCCTCAAAATGACATTCTTGTTCTGTAACACTTCGAAGTGGCCCTTATGCAACAGATTTGCCCAGTGGTTCTTGCCGACTGCTTCCACGAGCACTGAGTGTGGAGAGGAGGAAAATGAAACCCTTCACAGCTTCAGTATGTTCTCTGTCTATCGTGCTTCTGTCTGTTGGTCTAGTTATGAGGATTTGGGGTTCTTTACATTGAGTTGCGATCCATACTGAAGGCTACAGTCTGATCTTCACCAGCAAGGGCTTTACATCCTCTTTGTTTTCAACCAGCACGGTTTTGACAGCCACCTATGGAAAGGTGCTAATCACCCTTTCATCAGGCCTGATGTTGCATTCGTCTTTATATAGTCTAGTTTTTAAAATTTTTTGTCCAGCATACAAGTTGAATAAATATGGTGACAAGATATCACCCTGACACATGCCTTTCCTGATTTTAAACCATGCAGTTTAAACCCTCATTCCCTCCCCCCTCTTCCATATGTCTACCTCTTGATCTATACTTGTGTCATCTGTGAGTACAGTGTTGTATTCTAGGATTGTAGTTTGTATGATCCACAGAATCAGTTGTCTTTGCCTACAGTTGAGAAAATACAAGTAAATATCTCTCGGTTATTTTCTGCTCTCAGCCAAGATACACCGGACGTTAGCCAATCCTCTGGAATCTGGCCTGAATTTCTGGCAGTTCTCTTTGCAGCAATCATTTTTGAAAATTATTTCCAGCACAGTTTCACTCGCATGAGATATGTTTTGTATTGTTCAACAATCTGCATATTCTGTTGGGATGCCTTACTTTGCAATGAGCACAGCGGTCGATCTCTTCCATTTGATTGGCCAGGCAGCTACCTTCTAAATTCCCTGCCATAAATGAGTGGGTGCTTCCAGTGTTTCATCAGCTCATTGAAACATTTCCATTGGTAATTTGTCAATTCCTGGAGCCTGGTTTTTTTCATATGCCATCATTCAAGCTTATGCAACTTGAATTTCTTCCTTCAATAACATTAATTTTACATAGTTGGCTACCTCCTGAAATGGTTGTTGGTTGATCAATTTTTTGGATGCAGTGACTCTATGTGTTCCTTCCATTTTCTTTTGGTGTTTCTTGCATAATGCAATATTTTATCATGGAATCCTTCTCTATTTCAACTCAAGGCTTGCATTCTTTATTTCTTTCTTCTTGAGATATTCTTCTCTTTTGGCTTCTTAATTCCAGGTCCCTACTCATTTTATTTTAACACTCTCCTCTGTCTTCTTGAACTGCCCTCTCAAAGTTTCTGCTCAACTCTCTTACACAATGGCTTCCATTTGTTTTAGCTACTCCACATGAAAGATCAAGTTTCAGAGTCTCCTATGACATTCGTATTGGCCTTTTCCTTCTTTCTTGTCTTTTTAATGATCTTTGGTTTCTTCATGTGTGATGTTCTCAAATAGAGATTTTAAAAGGTATTTGTCACTTAGTTATGATGGTGATTATGAACTATTTATAAAAGTTCTGTGGAAAGTGGAAACCATGTTATATACATAAATATGAAGAGAAGAAAGAAGATACAACTAGGGGCACAGTACAGAGGACATATGTGTATTCAGTTCACAGTTCATCCCACAAGAGTCATTGAGTCATATTTAATAAAAAGTCCTTGTTTTTTAATAACTTTTTATATATCATCAGAAAACAAAATCTTGAGGCATTTAAATGGTTATGCATTGGGCTAAAATCTGCTAGGTCAACCATTTGAAACCACCAGACTTTCCACTGGAGAAAGACGTGGCTTCTACTCTCATAGTTACTTTCTCAGAAATCCAGAGGTGTAGTTCTATTCTGTCCTAAAGGGTATCTGTAACTCTGAATACACTCTATAGCAGTGATAGGGAGAGATGAAGTAGTAAACTCTATTGATTACAAGGGGATAGAAGAGAACCAGCAGTTCTTTGTACCATTATGCATGGGTTCACTGTGAGTCAAGTCAAACTCAACAGCAGCTAACAATGACAACGATACACATAAAACTGAAGACTTATCTTTAAGCACATTTAGTATTATTATTCCCAGTAAAGCTATTTCTGGGATTCTTGTTTGGTCTGGAGGAATTGGACATGGAGAAGACTTAAGACAACTGTTGGGGGCTGGGGGCGCTGTGAGGCAGAGGAAAAGGGAAAGAGTGGTAATGACTTGGATTTACAAAGCTTCCTTACATGCTGAGATTTCACTTGCAGCATCTCTTTTAAGCCTCAAAATAATTCCAATAAGTAGGAACTCTGTAACACCTGTCTCAGGTATGTGGAAATTGAGGTGATAGTTCACAAGTGACCTATCAAGTTAGAGGAGCTGGCCTTCCAATCCAGAGACCAAGTTGTATCCAACTGTGGTCCTGGCTTATTGTTGTTAGCATCACCCCTATCTGCTTACTGTTAAATTTATGTATCAATACATTCGTTGTCAGCTTAGACATGGCATACATTCTGCAGGGTTTTTTACTAGTGTTTTGTGCATAAATTAACTTGTGTTACAGCAGTATTAAAACTGCTTACTGTATATCATTGACTTCCTTTCAGAGTCTTATGATATGTTATGCTTGAATCGATGAGGAACTGTTCTCACTATATGCAAAAATAATTGTGCATGCATTAATTAGAAAGTCTATAAAACATAAAATTGTGAAAGATTTACAACTAGCTTCCAGATTGTGGTTGATTGATTTTTATCAGTTACATTTGAGAGGAAATGTTACTCTCCTGGATTAATTAAATTGAGTAAATTCTAATGGAAAAGTTTAGGCTACCTCCTTAGACATTGCATTTTCCACTGAGAGAGATTATGCAAAAAAGCATTATAAATGCACTGAAATCTGACATTTCAAAGAATTTGTTATGGCCCATTATTTCATCTAACAATGAAAACGTGGGCACAGCAAACATGAATAAATCAATAAGTGTGCTTTCGATACCGCAGCCATGTTTTGGGTTTATTCAGCTATGCTCTCCTCATGTTTTAAAAGGAAAAATAATATCTTTTTGAAAGATTTATATAAATGTTGTACTGATTATATCATCGTATTTTTTATAGCTGTTAACAACATAGCATTCTGATTCTGGTGCTTTGAAAACAAAAATACATCTTCCCATCAGATGTACCCTGCTTGGTGTTCTGCATCTCTGAATACAAGTGTTATTACTTTCAGGTGGGAAAGGTGGGAAAAAGAAGAAAAATAAAAACTCTTCCAAACCACAGAAAAACAATGGATCGACCTGGGCCAATGTGCCACTACCTCCTCCCCCTGTCCAACCCCTTCCAGGCTCAGAGCTGGAACACTATGCAGTAGAACAGCAAGAAAATGGGTAAGAATATATCTATATATTTATATACTAACACAATTGCAAGGATTTCTGTCCTTATTCTGTGTTCTCTTGTTATATTTTCCCTGCCTAACTCCCACCTCCTTCATTGCTACACCTCCCCCCACCTTATTCGACCCCCTTTGATTGTTTGAACCATCGATGTATTTTTAGCTGATAAACACCAAACAGCACATATGGAGGACCTGGAATCCTTGGCCCTCAAGTGCTTTAGATTGTCTGCAATCATGATAATGCATTCTCCATTTATAATATTGCTTGTTAGTTTGAAAGCAAGTACCCACAGCTCTGTGAACTAAAGAGCCACTCTGGAGAAGGGCTGAAAAGGGAATTAAAATAACCTTCTTCATCATCCCTCGAAGCTCTCTAATGACTTTATGTCTGGCCATAGCAGGGCGCCCACTGTAGAGCTCCCTCACAATGGGATAATTGTAAGGACCTGGCCAGTGGGTAGAACTTTAATCATCAGCTTTGATGGAGATTTAGAGGCTGGAACAATAACAGAAGTTCAAGTCAATGCATACTCTGTAACCAAACCATTTTAAGCTACACATTTTCCTCCGAGGGCCTTTGAATGTGGCCAGTTTCCTTATGCTTTTACACACATTTCACAAGTTGTGCCCCCCCTCCCTGCCCCTGTTAATTTTCAAGCAAAAAGAGATCAATAGTTTGATTCTATCTTTTCTAACACACTGGCTGGGTAAAATATGCTTAATATTTTTATTTTCTGTTTTAACAATTCTAAATGTAATATCTAATTTCCAAGTCAGCATTTATTTTGACTGGACTTTGATGGCCCTTAAAAATATAGAATTCATACAGATTTCTTTTTCCAAGTTATTTTTTACATAGAAATATGTAAACTATCAAAATAGCTTGGCTTATCTGAATAATACGTTCATTCTTATCCCGGTTTACATACGGATCACAGGTATGAGGGCTTTCAGAAGGTTCATGCAAACATGGACTTGAAGCTAATGGAGTCTTTCCCCTCACTTGTTCGAAGCCCCTTCTTCCATGTTTGTAACAATTTCTGTAATCTTCTGAGCTGCTCTCTCAACTTTCCTGGTCAAGTAGAATCCCACCAAAGAACTCTTATGATTGGGAATTTTTTAAGGCATCCTAATGAGAGTAAGGGAAATGTTACGCTGTCATATCTTGTCTTTCTCTGCTGTTTGGAAAGACATGTTTAAATATGTTTTGCTTGAAGTAAACTCAGTGCATGAACTGGACTTCCGGGAGCAATACTTTTTCCCTTACCCCCATAAGACTACTCAGAGGGATAATCATTGTAACCGGAGATGTCTGAGGAAAGCTTTATGGAAGATGACATCTGAGGTGAATCTTAAGTCACTGATTCAGAAAATGACTCATAACATGTGGCTGTTGGGTGCCCAGGCTGTTGGCCAGAAGCAATAAAGACACAGTTGCAGCCAACTGCTATGAAAGTCACCAATTGATGTGCGAATAGATACTGCTCTGTTCAAAGAGCAATAGATTAAAATAAATAAATAATGAGATGACCACCCCAAACAAAACCTGCTTCCAGGAGTCAATTCCAATTCATAGCAACCTTAGAGGAAAGAGTAAAACTGCCCTCCCCTTCTGTCTCCCAAGTTTGTAAATCTTTACAAAAAGAAGCTGCCCATCATCTTTCTCCCAGGAATTCACACCACCAACCTTTTGGTTAGCAGTTTGTGTTAGTCTGGGTTGACTAGATAAACAAATCCATAGACACTCATATGGGTATAAGGAAGAGCTTTATATAAAACAGCAATTGAATATTGAGAAAACGTTCCAGCTCAAGTCCATAAGCCTGATATTAGCCCATATGTCCAACATCAATCTCTTAAGTCCTCTTCCAACTCATGAACACATGTGATGACGCCGAATGCAGGAAGATCACAGGTCAGTGGATGGGAAGTCTTGTGGATCCAGTGGCGTTGTAAGCATCTCAGTGCTGGCAGGGCTCTCCACGTGGCTTCTCCGACTCCATCTGCCTCTCTCCATGTGTCTTCTCCACAGGGATGTCTCACAGGGAGTGAGCTGAGGGAGAGCGTGTGTCTCCTGCCTCCAAGGAGGAAAACAGGAGCTCCCAGAATCCTCAGGAGAAGGCTATGCCCACATAGAGGCCTCATTGGTTGTGTCCTGACTGTTAGGCTAGACTCCACCCCTACCTCTTAATCCTCAAATTGACACCAGATTATGTAACTACCACACAGTTGAACACTAATCACTGTGTCAGAGGACAGTTTGATGAGAAGACAAGGGAGACAAACACCCCCTATATTGGCCTTTACCACTGTTTGTTTTTCCTTTTAATTCCTGCTCTATTCGTGGTTAGTGTCTACTTCCTTTATTTTGCTTTCTCCTTTTCTTAGGTTTAAACCTCTGCGGGAATACCCATCCCATTATATTTGAGTCACTTGTCTGCTTCCTTGGGCCACTGGTAGCTGGTGTATAAAGTGTGTTTCATTTATAGAGGGTAGGAAAGAAAGCTGAGGTTTCTTGAGCTCCAGATGTGAAATAACCTAGAAGTTCAGAGGGTATTCTTGTAATGGGGTACGGTGGGGGATTGGAAGACTTGATGGCGAGGACCGGGGAGAAGGTGTGGGAGATTCAGCAGCCTGGCTGATGTCTTGAAAATGGACAATAAGAGAATGACCACGGAACTGAAGGAAAGGCATAAATCATGGAGATGATGTCGTTCAGAATAAAAAGGTATTTCATAAAGTTCATGGAAAAATCCCTTTTTTTAACATTCCATTTTTCCACGAACCTTTTGAATCCCCAGCCTAATCACAATCCTGAAAAGATATTTTCTTGGTCTTCATTTTAATTAATGCTATTTCTAAAGTTTAATCCCCTGCCATCAAACCTGTTCAAACTCTTATCGACACAGTAAGAGTTTTTGAGGGTGTAAATCTTTATAGGAACAGACAACCTCATCTTTCCTCTACGGGGAAGCTGATGGTTTTCAACTGATAACCTTGCAGTTAGCACTCCGACCCTTCCCAGACAGCACCACCAAGACTCTGTCTTACATAGCATCAATTCTTCAAATCTTTCTTGGACTTTTGAGGGGTTTTTTTTCTTTACAGTGTTATATATCAAAAAGTTACCGGTATTCAATTCATGTTCAACTACAAAAGTATAGGTATGTTCCACATAAGGTCCCTCAGACTATATATATATGTCTCTGAGGGTTTGCTCCAGTGAGTTGTGTTTGCACCCACTAAGGCTCAACTGTAACTCCTGTCTTGAACCCACCTTCCACCCATCTCCAGTTGCAATTGGCTTGTGGCTCTTGTAGTAACTGCTGTCAGAGGCTCTGTTCAGCTGTCTCATGACCCAGGACGATGATTGCAGGAAAATGCTAGGGTGATATCAGTCTGTCTGCTGGCTTAAATCTTCTGTCCTAATCAAGTTTCCCAGAGCTGATCTGAAAGCCCTTGGAGACTGACAGCTGCAGGTGCAAATACAACATTGTGACAGTCTGTCCTTTTGATATTCTATACCCGTATCATATATCAAATGCATCAATTTTTCTCTGGTCTTCTTTATTCAACACCTAACTTTCATATGCATATAAGGTGACTTAAAATACCATGAGTTGTGTCAGGTGCACCTTAGTCCTCTAGGTGATCTCTTGTTCGTCAACACTGTAAAGATGTCTTATATAGCAGATCTACACAAAGCAATATGTCATTTGGTTTTTTTGACCGTTGCTTCCATGAGCATTGATTGTGGAGCCAAACAAGATAAATCCATGGCAACTTCCATCTTTTCTCCATTTATCATGATGTTACTGATCAGTCCAGCTATGAGGATTATAGCAATATATAATCTAATTAGATTGTAATCTAATGATATATATAAATATATAGAACTCAGTAGCAATTGAGTAGGAGACCAATGCCTTACTTAGTGATTGCATTTTGCAATTGGCAAGCTTTTGCTGCTGCTGAACTTTATTGTATTTATATTAGTAATTTGATATCTATATCTGGCCTTTAACAAGCTAGATCACATGGAACATTGATTAGTTGTCATCTTTCTCATTATTCACAAGGCAAGACAATCGCATGAGGTCCTATATTTCACTGACAGTAGATCAAACGGCAACAGCTTCTCTAGCAAAGGTTGGTGCCCATCTTCACAGCCTTTTAATTTGTTTTTGTGTTACTACCAGAAACAGTTGAAATTCAGTCACTCAAAATAAGGTGTATTTCAGTAAGTGTTAAGAAAACGAAATACAGACCGATGCTTACCTTAACATTTGAGGAATCATCGGTGGTTTTGTGACCTTTAGTCTTTGTATAATACCAAAGAATTAGTTGTCCTGGAAAGGTATCAGAGATGCAATCACAAAAATGTTGAATAGTTCTTCCTCATAGTACATTATACACATTTTCTTAATTTACTTTCATCCTACCTTTCTGATCCTGTCTTCTCTCTTTCATGCTCCTCATTTTTCCATTTTCTGCTTTCACCATTGGGAAAAATCCATGAATATTTCTCAGCTCTGCTTAGATCCCATGGCTTAGTTTTATGGTTGAGTATCTAAAGCATGCTTTTAAAGAAAATGTATGAGATGACTGGTGATAAGATCAATCCAGGTGAAAATAAATAGCTAATGAAACATATTTTTAGAAATTTAATACTTTTAGCAATTTATGTGCCTATTTCAGAAATAGCCTTTTTATAATAAAATGATACTTCACCTGATGACATGAATTGATAAATAAAAATTGAGTCATGTACAATTAATTATGATTCCTTCTACATTATCTTAACATAACAGAAACACATTTATTCTTCAATCTCCTATATTCTCTATGTCAACAGTTCTCAACTGTGGGTCCTGACCCCTTTGAGGGTTCAAACAACCCTTTCATAGGGGTCACCTGATTCATAGCAGTATCAATATTAGTTATGAAGTAACAATGAAAATCATTTTATGGTGGGGGGTCCCCACACCA